AGGGTCCTTGGACTCATCTGATACAGTGAAAAGGGCTTCATTTATTTCGCTTATTTGGTAGCGCAAAGCTTTTACACTCTCTAAACGGCATTCCCATTTTGTGTCTGACAGTGATTTTACTGTGATGTAAGGCACAGCTTCTTCCAAAATCAAAAGATTTCGGAATAAGCTCGAATCGTGAAAAACACTGTTTACGGCTATAGATATCCAAATGAAATGACTCTCAAATGTAATCACGGACGCTCAGTAAGGTGGAACACTGGGGGGGGGGGGGGGGGGGGGGGTGACAGTTGGTGGGGTGAGGTGAAGGATAACTGTACACTTAAATCTATTGGATGCCAAACCCTAAAAAAAAATCAGTTCGGGTACTACGTTACTGGATCTCTGACCGCAGCCATTCAAGGGAAGGTGCGTGTTTATAGAGCGTCCGCGTATTACATTACAGAGATTAAGACCGCGTTCTCACAAGAGAAGGTCCGTGTCTATAATTGAAAGTTTTTTCCGGGAAGGGTCGCTACGCCTCTGGGGGGGGGGGGGGGGTGACACCATTAAGTGCCGCACCGGGTGACACCCGACCTCGCTACGCCACTGTCCCTACAATTACTCAAAATAAACATGTGCTTAATCACTTTACGAATACCGTTAAAGTTTACCAAAATGAAAATGGACATAATTACTGTATAAATGCCCTTCAAAAATATAAAAATAAATACAAGTATAATGTATTTAAAGATGACCTGACAATATATAAAATAAATATGAACATAATTACTGTATGGATGCCTATTAAACGTATCGTGGTGAATATGCATAATTACACAAAAGATGCCCATACAGTGTATAAATTATGATTTTAGGGATAAATACTCTGGATTTCCGGGGCATGTCCCCATCCGCTGTCTCCCCCCTCCCCCCTCCTCCTCTGCAAGCCATCATCAGGCCACTGACTGTTTACACCCCCGCCTGCTCACTAAAAAAACGTCTTCAACGGTCCGCGTACAATAGGGTATCTGTTTACTTTTTTCCTGATTTTACCTCCCATGTCAGGTCGGGAGCTAATTCGCGACCGCCATCTCCAGTCACCTCAGGACAATAGCGAGTCGACCGTGCCAGCGATGTGTGACACTAATGTCTTTCTTTAGAATAACGGTCTGTCCCAGTCCATGTAGAGGATAACTCACTAACATCAGCCGTGGCCTCAGTTTTAACATCCAACAATTTCGGCCATTTAGTAGTTTTTTTTTAAATTTAATTCAGCAAAGATTATTTAAGTTTACAAACTAATTCAGGCAACAATGGCGTTGCTGAAGCGCGGGCCCCTTCAAGCGCGGGGCCTGGGGCGACCGCCCCGTTTGCCACCCCCTAACGCCGGCTCTGCACCTGTCCTTTTGCTGCCTGGCTGCTGTCCTTGTGCTGTCTAGTGCTTCCCTGCTAGCATTTGATATTTGATATGGGAGTGTGGTGAACGAAACTAGTCAGGGAGTGACCTCCCCTTTCTCAGGTCGACTTCATTTCTTTCATTTTTGTATTTACTGTAAATGCCATGTGTAAATGCCATATATATATATATATATATATATATATATATATATATATATATATATATATATATATATATATATATATACATATATCTGTGTGTATATGTGTATAATGTTAACGTGACACAGGTTAACCTACAGTAGAGCAACTGAGAAGAATTTTCTCACGATAAAATGTAAATATTATGAAACTTCAACAAAAGAAGTGATAAAAATAAAGTAGCGTGACCTTAACCTTGGGTTACACCTCGTCAGGTGTATCTCAAATATCTTACTCGAAATGTAGGTCGAGGTCAGCAGTAAACATTTCGCATTTTGAATTGATTTGAAGAAATGGTCAGCTTTAACATTATTTATTACAAACATGTTGCTAACGTTATATATCAAACACGTTGCTAACGTTGTATATCAAACATGTTGCTAAAGTTATGTATCAAACATGTTGCTTATGTTGTATGTCATACATGTTGCTGGTTCGAAAACAACCGGCACATGTACGGCTATGTCCACAGGATGTATCTATCTACCTCTCCACTTTATGTGTCCACCGCTCCATCACGCCACTATGACCATCAGATGTTTCTCTCCACCACTCCACAATGTCCACCACTCCACAACGTTCACCACTCCACTATGTCCACCACTCCACTATGTCCACCACTCCACTATGTCCACCACTCCACTATGTCCACCACTCCACCACTCCACCACTCCACCACTCCACTATGTCCACCACTCCACTATGTCCATCAGATGTTTCTCTCCACCACTCCACTATGTCCACCACTCCACGATTCCACTATGTCCATCACTCCACTAAGACCACCACTCCACTATGTCCACCACTCCACGATTCCACTATGTCCACCACTCCACTATGTTCACCACTCCACTATGTCCACCACTCCACTATGTCCACCACTCCACGATTCCACTATGTCCATCACTCCACTAAGACCACCACTCCACCACTCCACTATGTCCACCACTCCACTATGTCCACCACTCCACTATGTCCACCACTCCACTATGTCCACCACTCTACTATGTCCACCACTCCACTATGTCCACCACTCCACTATGTCCACCACTCCACTATGTCCACCACTCCACTATGTCCACCACTCCACTATGTCCACCACTCCACTATGTCCACCACTCCACTATGTCCACCACTCCACCACTCCACTATGTCCACCACTCTACTATGTCCACCACTCCACTATGTCCACCACTCCACTATGTCCACCACTCCACTATGTCCACCACTCTACTATGTCCACCACTCCACTATGTCCACCACTCCACTATGTCCACCACTCCACTATGTCCACCACTCCACTATGTCCACCACTCCACTATGTCCACCACTCCACTATGTCCACCACTCCACTATGTCCACCACTCCACCATGTCCACCACTCCACTATGTCCACCACTCCACTATGTCCACCACTCCACTATGTCCACCACTCCACTATGTCCACCACTCCACTATGTCCACCACTCCACTATGTCCACCACTCTACTATGTCCACCACTCCACTATGTCCACCACTCCACTATGTCCACCACTCCACCACTCCACTATGTCCACCACTCTACTATGTCCACCACTCCACTATGTCCACCACTCCACTCTGTCCACCACTCCACTCTGTCCACCACTCCACTATGTCCACCACTCCACTATGTCCACCACTCCACTATGTCCACCACTCCACTATGTCCACCACTCTACTATGTCCACCACTCCACTATGTCCACCACTCCACTATGTCCACCACTCCACCACTCCACTATGTCCACCACTCCACTATGTCCACCACTCTACTATGTCCACAACTCCACTATGTCCACCACTCCACTATGTCCACCACTCCACTATGTCCACCACTCTACTATGTCCACCACTCCACTATGTCCACCACTCTACTATGTCCACCACTCCACTATGTCCACCACTCCACCACTCCACTATGTCCACCACTCCACTATGTCCACCACTTCACCACTCCACTATGTCCACCACTCTACTATGTCCACCACTCCACCACGTCCACCACTCTACTATGTCCACCACTCCACTATGTCCACCACTCCACTATGTCCACCACTCTACTATGTCCACCACTCTACTATGTCCACCACTCCACTATGTCCACCACTCCACTATGTCCACCACTCTACTATGTCCACCACTCCACCACGTCCACCACTCTACTATGTCCACCACTCCACTATGTCCACCACTCCACTATGTCCACCACTCTACTATGTCCACCACTCCACCACGTCCACCACTCTACTATGTCCACCACTCCACTATGTCCACCACTCTACTATGTCCACCAATCCACCACGTCCACCACTCTACTATGTCCACCACTCCACCACTCCACTATGTCCACCACTCCACTACTCCACTATGTCCACCACTCCACTATGTCCACCACTCCACTATGTCCACCACTCCACTAAGACCACCACATATAGATTGACCACCACAACCACACAGATGAGGCTATGAGAGTCCATGCGTTTGCTGCCCAGGACTTGGCAGTTTTCTATAAGGCTCAATGTCAGTCGAGTGGTATTGCTTCTTAGATGGGTGAATAATAGATTTTTAAAAACTTTTGTACTAATTCTCCTCTGGATAGTATCACTCCCGATATTTTTAGTTTTTCGCCCACCGTTACAACTTTTTTTTTGTCTTAAACATTTTTTTCAAATGTTGACACTTGTATTTTAAAATAGATGTAAACTTTTAAAATACTTAGAAAAAGAAACAATCAAAAAGCGATAAAGAAAAGAAAGAAAACTTGATTTTGCCACGTAAATTTTATTTGAAACATGAACACATAACCAACCAGATCTGTAGGTTTAAAGTAAACATTCGATCTGAAATCAATAAAATAAACATTCAATATGAAATAAATAAAATGTTTAGGCAACAAGAAAGTAGTGGAATGAGATGGACATTTAAAAACGGATTCGTGAAGATTGACAATTTAGTGTTCAATTTGCTGAGTAAAAAATTATTTCTTTTTTAACTCATCATTTAGAAGTATTGAATAGCTAATATTTGGTTCATAAAGTTTTTATTAAAACAAAAGCAAAAACTAAAAGGCAGCTTTATTACATAAAACATTCAAAATTGTCTACATTGTACACTATTTTTAAAAATACAGAATACTAAGTAAAATCATATCTAGATTCCACTTGTACTTAAAGCATTAGAAAATAAATAAATATTCCCACAGCCAAATCGAAATGATTATGGCAAAATAAATAACTCAAAAAGTCGGCTGTGAGAAGCAAACATTTCACATCAGCTGAAACATAAACTTAAAACATTTTAAACTGCTATTTTCTAGTCCAACAGTATGAACTAGAATTTATCATGTGTAAGCTGACAATGCTAAACTAATGTTAATTTTAATTATTTTAAATTTTTAATGGACTAAAATCTTATCAACAAAAGTCGAATTAGATTAATTAGGCCTAGAAAATGTAATATAAAATTTAATTTTCTAGTGCTCTAAAAAGACTAGGTTGAAAATAATTCAAGTTCACAGAAATTTATAATAATATTTCTAGTCCAAGTAGTGTGAGCAGTAGTACTGAGTAGGCCTACTGCAGTAATTTAGTAATTTACTAATTAGATCTAGAATCTAGCTAGATTTGTATCTAGTCTAGTAGTAATTGTAGTAAATTTAGATTTTAATTTGGAAATCTAGCCTGTTTAGTATTAAAATTTACTATTATTTGTCATTTGTTGCTATTTAATACTAAACTTTACAAGATGTTTAAATATTAATAAATATTTATCTAAAACAAGTGTAGCATTTATTAGCCAGAAAATAAATCTAATCTTGAAACATTTTATTGTCATTTCTGTAAATTATTTCATCCTAATATATGCTGTTGATTTCAACAATGATAAATAAAACATTTGTAAAATGTATTCAAATAAATATGTGTATGTATATACAGGAAGAACCATATAGCATCAAATACAATGTGGCAAACTTCATAAATAATCAAATATGCAACCAGTAAATTAAATCAAACAAATAGTAAGTTTTCCCACAGTTCATAGGAAAAAATAAATATTTTATGAACTATGTCAGACATTGTTATCTATCTTGATTAAGGTTTCATCAATGCAAAACTAATTCAGTACTTCAAATAATTGTAAATGATACTTTTTAAGTAAATACAATTTTACTTTATCAGCATCTATACACACACCTAAAATATTACTTTGTATTTGATTTTTAATAAAAAAAAGTCAACAAGGTGTAGGCTACAACAACTGCATTCTCAAGTTTAAAATAAATTCAAAACAGGGTTTTTCTAAAAGTAAACTGCGAATGATTGTCCTCACAGATCTTTAAATCTATTCTAGTGCATCGCAATGGACCATATTTTTGTGTCCTATAGAAATTACCTAATATTTTTAAAATATAGTAAAAATAAGTTATAAAATAGCGTTGGTCAAACATAACCATAAAAGCACTGTCACCTTCATTAAAAAAAAATGGAGATAATTTGTACAAGTCTTAGTGAGACAGACATTGAGAGAATCCTTGTTGACTAGAAGCTTCTGGGCCCAACTGGCAACATCAAGCAGTCCATGGTACAAGCAGCCAATGCCACGCCATTATTTGCCCCGTCCAGTCTGAAATCATTTTGAAATAGTCTCATTAGTAGGTCCAAAGCTTGTATTCAAGGGTAAGCAAGGATTCATTAGAATATTAATTTTAGATAAAGTCATTTAATATAATTATGGTAGTCTTGCTTCATAAAATCATCCTAAAATTAAAAGAAATTCACAGATGAAAATATTAATAGCTGCAGAACAGGTTAAAACCAAAACTGAGTTGAAAGTCTTGCAGCTACTTACTGGGTATAAGAATGCGGATAGTCTTGCAGGTACTTACTGGGTATAAGAATGCGGATAGTCTTGCAGGAACTTACTGGGTCTAAGAATGCGGATAGTCTTGCAGGTACTTACTGGGTATAAGAATGCGGATAAAGTCTTGCAGGTACTTACTGGGTATAAGAATGCGGATGCGGAGTCAGATCCATAGTCATTTTTAGCTTCACACGTAAACTCCCCCATGTGCAGACTCCAATCAATATCTCGGATGATCAGGTCACCTGTTGGAGTCACCTGAAATACATCATTCATGTTTTAGGGCAACTGGAAAATATATTTTAGGGGCAACAGGAAACTTTTTTTTTTAAAGGGCTAAACATGTTTTAGGGGCAACAGGAACTCTCAACCATGTATTACTATTAGGGGCAACAAAAAAACGTTTTAGGGGCAAGAGGGAATCTCAACCTTGTTTTAGTGGCAACAGAAACCTGTTTTAAAAGCAACATGAAAACATGTTTTTGGGGCAAGAGGAAAACTCAACCATGTTTTAAAAGCAACAGTAAAACTAAATCATGTTTTAGGGGCTACAGGAAATTATGTTTTAGAGGCTACAAGAAATCTCAACCATGTTTTAGGGGCAACAAAAAAACATGTTTTAGAAGCAACAGGAAAACTCAGCAATGTTTTAGAGCCAACAGGAAAACATTTTTTAATAGGCTACTGGAAATTATGTTTTCGGGGCTAGAGGAAATCTCAACCATGTTTAGCTGCAACATTTTTATAACAATAAAAAATATTTGGTAAATGTAGCGTCAGTGTGTTGATCACGTGATACTTACAGTGTACGAATCACTTTCTGGGTCAATGGGCATGTTATCTCTGTCATACCAGGTGATGGTTGGGGTGGGGCTACCCTGCGCACGACAAAACAGCTGGACAGTGCCCGTTTCATATTCAAGTCGAGATGATGTCCACATGAATATTCTTGGCTGACCTGAAAAAATTAGGAGAAAACTTCACATTTCAGAAAACTTCACATTTTAGAAAACTTTGATCTCAGCACCATGAGCTGGACATTTTAGAACTGTGATTCTCCTTGTAAAACTATTGGACTTCACATTTAGAACTGTGATTCTCCTTGTAAAACTATTGGACTTCTCATTTAGAACTGTGATTCTCCTTGTAAAACTATTGGACTTCACATTTAGAACTGTGATTCTCCTTGTAAAACTATTACAACTATGTCAAGAAAAGGGAAGTATTTTATTTACCTGACCAAGCACATGCTGTCTGCTCAATTCCATTTGCAGTGTCTGCAATAAAACAATGATACAACAGTTTAAATATTTCATTTACTGAATGCTCTAAAAGCTCAAGAACCAATATCCAATATTCAGACTTAAAATTGATCACATCTAATGACAAACCAATGTTCCAACTTTACTTTAATTGACCTATGACCCACAAATGACCTACCAATTGTCAGTCTGTGCTCCTGTTTGATGGTGACTGCTGGGCTGTGTCCCACACAGACGTAGATGCCAGCGTCCTCCTCACTCAGACAGTCCAGGTAGAGTCTAGACTGTGTGCTGGACAATTCCAGCCTGGACAGGCCGTCAGAGGTCATGTGATGCTCCCTGTTGCCGGTGTGGGTGTCGCCCTGTAATGGTAAACCAACCTCAGCACAACTCTTAAACAAATCACTGTCACCCTAAATTTGTGTCAGTTTATTTTCTTTTATATGGTAGTTTTTTTTTTTTTTATCGAAGTGTTACTATCTTTCTAGCGTTGTCTCAGTGTTCCTTCATTTATCTCAATCTCACCGGCTGACCCACCTGGTGAATTCTTTCTCCGTCCTTGACCCAGTAAACCAGGGCTGGGGGGATGCCAGACACCTGGCACTCCAGCACCACGCTACCCCCCAGCATCCCCACCGTCTGTGTTGGTTTGCTCTTAAACATGCTCGTCTTCTGGAACCTTGGATCTTCTGGGGAAAAAAATCTTAAAAATATAACAAGTCTGTCATGCAGCAAAAAACATCTTTAAAGTCTGTCATGTCATCTATCAAAATGTTCTCACAAAATTACATAGAGGAACGGTAACCAAGCTACAGATAGATAAAATAGAGTTACCTTTCTTTAGACTGGTCCTTTTAAACAAAGATTTCTGAAAGAAGGAAGAAGAAATAATTTTAGACGTGTTTGGGGAGGAATTTCATTCATTAGTTAATTTTGTCCCGTGATTTAATTAGTAATAATATGCGTGGAAAGGCTACATTTTTGCAACCTGACAAGTAGGATGCACAGAAATCTCCAAATTCTGGTTCTAGTTCTAGCCGTCCTAAAGTTTATGGACGTGAAATATTGTTATAACAGTTTAAAATGGCCATGGACCCCATCCGTCTAGACGTGTCATGGCCCCCTGGTTTATAACTCTGGTCACGTGACGAGGTTTTCCGGGAAATGTATAAATAGCTCGGCCACTTCCTGCTTGTGGGTGTGAAGGGGACGGGAGTTGACCTGGTATACACCTAAGTGGGTTAGGAGGTCAGATCACTGGGTCGTGTTGTGGCGCCCGAGAATCAGCGCTTGCTTCACCGTGCTCGTCTGCTACACTCAACAGTTGCTTCACTTTGATCGTCTGCTACAAATGTACACCCAACAGTTGCTTCACTTTGATCGTCTGCTACAAATGTACACCCAACAGTTGCTTCACTTTGATCGTCTGCTACAAATGTACACCCAACAGTTGCTTCACTTTGATCGTCTGCTACAAATGTACACCCAAAAGTTGCTTTCCAGTGATCGTCCCGACGTTCAACAGTTTTGATAGACCCACAATTTGGATGTAAAAGTGACCAAGTCACATCTGACTGACAATCTCTAGTAGACTAGTGTACGCTGGGTTTGGGGTGGGGATACCTGTGCCAGTAAACAAAAACTCTACGCCTAAATCTGGTAATATCCCTAGCTTTAATTCCAAATGTAATCCTGAACTTGATCGTAATCCTCCTACATTAGTCTTAAATGTAGCTTAGTGTAACCTTAAACTTTATCCTAAACCTACAATATAATCTAGCAACAATAGAAAGAGCTTGTTAAGTCGACATTCGATTTGGTAATATTCATATGTTCAACTCCCAGGGGCGTAGCTATGGGATGACAAGTGTTCGGCAACCCGGGGCGTCAAGTGCTAGAATAAAACCCAATTTTTTGTAGCTGTCTTCTTCTTGTTTTATTTAAGCATTTTATCACCATAATTATGCATAACACCAAAAAATAAAACTGATAAGGTCAGTAAAGGTCAGGGTAGGGGGCCAGATTTTTCGTATAATCAATAGTTCGCCCTGACGACGAAAATGTCTACTCTACAATGAAATCTCTCAAATCCATGGTCTACAGTGAAATATCCGAAGGCAACATACATATCACGAAGTTATCACAAAGTCTTTATGAATGGGAGAAATAATTGCACATTTTTTTTACTCAGTCCCTACCCTAGATAAATGTCAAGTGTAAAGCTTGTCGAAGTTGGTATTCATTTTCTTGAATAATAAGAAAACTATTGTTATAGTTATAATCAGAAATGACAACTAGCTTCCAACGTCGATAAACTTTTGTGAGGTGGAAGGGGACACGGCCATTTAATACTTTGGTCAAATTTGACCAAATCGTTGGGATATTTGGTGGATTTAGGACTTAGACACAGGTCAAATTTAACCAAATCGTTGGGATATTTGGTGGATTTAGGACTTAGACACAGGTCAAATTTAACCAAATCGTTGGGAAATTTGGTGGATTTAGGACTTAGACACAGGTCAAATTTAACCAAATCGTTGGGATATTTGGTGGATTTAGGACTTAGACACAGGTCAAAATTAACCAAATCGTTGGGATATTTGGTGGATTTAGGACTTAGACACAGGTCAAAATTAACCAAATCGTTGGGATATTTGGTGGATTTAGGACTTAGACACAGGTCAAATTTAACCAAATCGTTGGGATATTTGGTGGATTTAGGACTTAGACACAGGTCAAATTTAACCAAATCGTTGGGATATTTGGTGGATTTAGGACTTAGACACAGGTCAAAATTAATTATTTATAATCGAATGGTTTGGCCAATTCAATATCAACTCAACTATTAGAACTTTTAAGTTTTAAATGGAGATTTAAAAATACAGGTAAGTTAAGTCTACCCTTTTAAAACTATACAGGGTTTAGACGTCAACAAAAATATAAATGTCGTTGTGTGGTGAGAGTGTAGTGTACTCACCCTGGGGTAGGCAAGGCTGAGGTGAGGCACTAGAAACAGGCACAAGACAACAGTTAACTGCAAGTGTAACGCAACCATGGTGTGTGATCGAATCCCGCTCAGAAAATATCCTTGAGTGCGGCTGTTGACAAAAAATAAATAATATTACTTACATAGTATAGCAAGTTGAATATACATAAGTTGAACATACAAAATACGTAAGTTTAACATATATATTACATAGGTTAATTAAACATAGGTTCTACATCAATTCCTAAAAATATTTTGATTGACTTCTTTAGACGGTTTATAGATTCTAATTATAAAAGTAAGCCCCCCCCCCTCATACCTAATGATCCATAGGGCAGATGAAGTCGATTTTATATGTTTCTCGGTTATAAAGGGATAGTGTAATCAGCACTATAACGAGCCACCTTTACTATCCCGAGCGTGAGTCGGGTACCCATCAGAGCTGAGTGAACTCACAGAGTCACGAGTCATGACAGATATCTGAACTCGAGAGCTTCGGAGAAGCAGTCGAGCTCTCTACCACACCGTTTCATGGCTTCTTATTATAGTTGTTTTAAATTATATTTTAAAAATTTAAATTAGAATAAGTTTAACTAATATAAAAATGATTCAAATCTAGAAAATCTAAATACTAAATTGTTTTACAATTATTTTTTTCCTCAAGTATGTCGGCAACCTATCAGGTAAAATTATCTGATCAAGTAAATCATATTTTAAAGAGTGCGTGAATATTGAGATCTAGAGTCGGTAGTAGATTTTCTGCTAACAATCTCGTAACTCCAATTACACAATAATCGCCCATCCAAAAACAAACGCGCTAAAACTAAACTTGCCAAGTTAACATAATCATCAGATTCAAAATAAAAAACCTGACAAAATAAACTAAAACGCCTGTTCTGCTAAGCTTACATGAAGTTCCAAAATTGATTACCTTTTAAAAATCAGTGTCCCTGTAGCGGTCAGTGAAAGATGAGTAGTTAGCGCAGCGGTGGAAGATAGAAGCAGTGTAGTGGTGGTCACAAATCTGAATTACTGCGGGAAAGGACGGCCATTTATAGTAATCTGTCTGACGTCACCGAGTTTACGCACCCACGACCAATGAATGAACCGCAGGGCCGACCAATGGGAAGCGAGGGACTGAACAAGAGAGTTGTGCCGCTAGGCCGCGCTGACTGCTCGCCCGTGGAAACCAAATCTATTCAGCAGGGGGTAGGGGAGCGGAATTTTTCGGTATACCGCAGTCGGTTGTTGCTTCAATGGGTGGGGTGAGGGGGGGGGGGGTCTAAGAAAGGTCGGCATGATGCAAGACTACCAGCGGGGAGTGGGTGTCCCTATATTGTCCGGGGCTATTTTAGGTCATGAGAAATCCTGGTCAGATACGTCCCGTTGCCGTCTATCTCACGTCCCGTTGCCGTCTATCTCACGTCCCGTTGTCGTCTATCTCACGTCCCAACAACGTTGTCGTCTATCTCACGTCCCAACAACGTTGTCGTCTATCTCACGTCCCAACAACGTTGTCGTCTATCTCACGTCCCAACAACGTTGTCGTCTATCTCACGTCCCAACAACGTTGTCGTCTATCTCACGTCCCGTTGTCGTCTATCTCACGTCCCAACAACGTTGCCGTCTATCTCACGTCCCAACAACGTTGTCGTCTATCTCACGTCCCGTTGTCGTCTATCTCACGACCCAACAACGTTGTCGTCTATCTCACGTCCCAACAACGTTGTCGCCTGCCTCACATCTGTGTTGCGTCTTCCTGGACTAGATGGGTCTAGATCAGGGGTTCCCAATAAACATTATTGAAAGGTTGAAGGGGATGGAAATCGAAAATTTGAGGGGGGTGCAAATCTAAAATTTGAGGGGGGGTGCATTACGAAAGTTTGGGGGGGGGTGCAAATCGAAAGTTTTGTCCCCGGGTGACGGGAAGGGTCGCTACGCCTCTGGAAGGAGTTTGTCGATTTAAAATAGGTGGTGCCCGCCACCCTACCGCTATTTTAGAATGTGCTCTAGAGTAAAAAAAAGGGTTGGGAACCCCTGGTCTAGATGGTGGAAAGTTACACTTACAGTATGGTATAAAGAAATGTAAGAGAAGGGTGATTGAAAGAATGAAACAATTAGCAGCGAATATTTCCAGCATCAGTCTTGTAATTCACATTCCCCAAACATAACCCATATTACATTTCCTTACAATAATCTAACATAGCAAGTATAATTCTCTTACAAATTACATTTCTTACTATTTTTCTAACTACAAAGAAAATAGTCGACGTCATATTGGCTCCCGACAAAATGGCACCTATATATTGGCTTCCAACAAATCGGCTTTAGAGAAATTAAACTTTTGATTTCTTTAGACGTAACCAGTGTACCCAATACACGAAACCTCAACTAACGTAACCTCTTTTCCTTTCTCAACTTTCTAACTAAATCATGTTTACTTTCTTTATTTTCTAACTCAACCATTGTTACTTTTTAACTAAACCAAACATCCCCTTTCAGACCTCGGGTAATCCACAAACCCTCCATACATACATCAGATATCTCAAGGACTGCTTAGGATACTTGAAGTAGAGAACTCTACTGCAAGCACGTCCAATGGTTTCATGCTTGAAACTTCAAGCAGAAAAACTGCGTCACAGTCGGTGTTTTCGTGACGTCACTCTCTTGAAATCCGTTGACAGCTTGACCGTGTTTGACCGCGTCTAGATGAACTTGTCACGTGATGAGGTACATTGTTGGTACGCCACAGGGGGGGGGGGCGGCGAGTGGACACAATAAATTATGCCCCAGCTGACGTCAAATATATGACAGATGTAATATATGATAGAGAATAGAGAATTACGTTTAAACGCCGTGTGAATTAGCAGAAAGGAAATCCGGTCTGCAGGCAGGTTTATGTAATTCTAATGACAGGAAGTTGCGCAAAAAGTGAAAGATAAAAGATGCGGTTGTGTATTCTTTTATCAAAGTACGCAATTAGCATATGTTCGTGCTGTTTGTAAGGTTTGTGGAGGGTTGGTGATGTAGCACGATCTCCTGACGACAAGGGTCAAGGACGGTCATGTGAAACAAGGAAGGGGAGGGCAGTCAGTACTCACGGAGAGTTTACACGTGCTGCGTGTTGTGACGTAGTTTGTCCGGGTAATTTGGTGTTGGGGCGTAGTTTGTCCGGGTAATTTGGTGTTGGGGCGTAGTTTGTCCGGGTAATTTGGTGTTACACGTGCTGCGTGTTGTGACGTAGTTTGTCCGGGTAATTTGGTGTTGGGGCGTAGTTTGTCCGGGTAATTTGGTGTTGGGGCGTAGTTTGTCCGGGTAATTTGGTGTTACACGTGCTGCGTGTTGTGACGTAGTTTGTCCGGGTAATTTGGTGTTACACGTGCTGCGTGTTGTGGCGTAGTTTGTCCGGGTAATTTGGTGTTACACGTGCTGCGTGTTGGGGCGTAGTTTGTCCGGGTAATTTGGTGTTACACGTGCTGCGTGTAGTGTCGTAGTTTGTCCGGGTAATTTGGTGTTGTGGCGTAGTTTGTCCGGGTAATTTGGTGTTGTGGCGTAGTTTGTCCGGGTAATTTGGTGTTACACGTGCTGCGTGTTGTGACGTAGTTTGTCCGGGTAATTTGGTGTTACACGTGCTGCGTGTTGGGGCGTAGTTTGTCCGGGTAATTTGGTGTTTGGGTGTAGATGTTGTCAGCAGTTTGTCCGGGTAATTTGGTGTTTGGGTGTAGGTGTTGTCAGCAGTTTGTTTGGGTAATTTGGTGTTTGGGTGTAGGTGTTGTCAGCAGTTTGTTTGGGTAATTTGGTGTTTGGGTGTAGGTGTTGTCGGCAGTTTGTCCGGGTAATTTGGTGTTTGGGTGTAGGTGTTGTCGGCAGTTTGTCCGGGTAATTTGGTGTTTGGGTGTAGGTGTTGTCAGCAGTTTGTCCGGGTAATTTGGTGTTTGGGTGTAGGTGTTGTCAGCAGTTTGTCCGGGTAATTTGGTGTTTGGGTGTAGGTGTTGTCAGCAGTTTGTCCGGGTAATTTGGTGTTTGGGTGTAGGTGTTGTCAGCAGTTTGTCCGGGTAATTTGATGTTTGGGTGTAGGTGTTGTCGGCAGTTTGTCCGGGTAATTTGGTGTTTGGGTGTAGGTGTTGTCAGCAGTTTGTCCGGGTAATTTGGTGTTTGGGTGTAGGTGTTGTCAGCAGTTTGTCCGGGTAATTTGGTGTTTGGGTGTAGGTGTTGTTAGCAGTTTGTCCGGGTAATTTGTTGTTTGGGTGTAGGTGTTGTCAGCAGTTTGTCCGGGTAATTTGGTGTTTGGGTGTAGGTGTTGTCAGCAGTTTGTCCGGGTAATTTGGTGTTTGGGTGTAGGTGTTGTCAGCAGTTTGTCCGGGTAATTTGGTGTTTGGGTGTAGGTGTTGTCAGCAGTTTGTCCGGGTAATTTGGTGTTTGGGTGTAGGTGTTGTCAGCAGTTTGTCCGGGTAATTTGGTGTTTGGGTGTAGGTGTTGTCAGCAGTTTGTCCGGGTAATTTGGTGTTTGGGTGTAGGTGTTGTCAGCAGTTTGTCCGGGTAATTTGGTGTTTGGGTGTAGGTGTTTGTCTATGTAAATATAGCATCACTGTTTGTAAATATAGTATCTCTGTTTATTAGTATTAATAGTTTCGCTGTCTGTCTATGTATCTATCTGTCTGACAAGAACGCTGTAGAGAAAACACAAGCAAAATAAAAACATGCACAGTAATTCGAAAAACGAAGTATGACGCGGTCACATTTAGCATAGAGTAGAAAATAATCTCAAGCACACAGTGTGCACACAGTAATATGTCGTCATTGATTCTCGAGTAAACATTGAATAAAAAGGAAATTTTGTCTAATCTAAATGGTTTGCGTGAAGAGTTTCTTGCATACAATTCTTCGGGTAGGGGCGAAGCCCCACCCCCCGCGTAAGAACGTCTGAGCCCCCCCCCCTCCTCCCCAACTCAAAAGAAATTTCTTCATCGATACTCTATATAAAATTACCGCCTAATTAATGTTTCTAATCTAAAAAGTGGTTTTCTTGCAATTTCTTTAATGCAATTCTTCGGGTAGTGGCTAAGCGCGACACAAGTGTTTCTTTCAGACTTTTTCCTCCCCGGAGAGGGGTGGGGGTACTTGAAATTTTCGGGGGCGGGGGTAGAATTTTCGGGGAGGGGGCGGACACTGGAAAAAGTATATAATTATATTTCGTTGAATGGGACGGTAGACATGTTTTTTGGGGGATGGGGGTGGGGGGGGGGGGTGGTGTGTGTGTGTGTGGGGGGGTGGGTGGGTTTGGGGTGGTGTGTGTGGGGGTGGGGTGGGGGTGGGGGTGGTGTGTGTGGGGGGGGGGGGGTTGGTTTTAGTTTAGAGAAAAGAGACAGCACTATCAGCCTAGCGCCCGTTGTATCCTTCCTCAACGGGCCATTTTTCTCGTTTGTAAATATTGTCAGAATATAACAACAGCAGCAACATTGTGTGACTGGGGCACCAAATTGTGATTGGGGCGCCGAATTGTGATTGGGGCGCCAGATTGTGATTGGGGCACCAAATTGTGATTAGGGCGCAAAATTGTGACTGGGGCATCAAATTATGACTGGGCGCCAAATTGTGACTGGGGCGCCAAATGGTGACTGGGGCGCCAAACGGTGACTGGGGCGCCAAAGTGTGACTGGGGCACCAAATTGTGACTGGGGCACCAAATTGTGACTGGGGCACCAAATGGTGACTGGGGTAGCAACTGATAACGTTAGTACAAAAGATGTCACCAGGGCGTATGGTAGTGACAAAACTTTGGTAGTGACGGTAGTGGTGATGACTTTGGTAGTGACGGTAGTAGTGATGACTTTGATAGTGACGGTAGTAGGTTGACTTTGGTAGTGACGGTAGTAGGTTGACTTTGGTAGTGACGGTAGTAGTGATGACTTTGGTAGTGACGGTAGTAGGTTGACTTTGGTAGTGACGGTAGTAGTGATGACTTTGGTAGTGACGGTAGTAAGTTGACTTTGTTAGTGACGGTAGTAGGTTGACTTTGGTAGTGACGGTAGTAGTGATGACT